GTTAATGTTTCTCCTGTCAAAAACAATGAGTTGTTCGACATTGCCGATGAATATGTTGCAGTCTTATGCTTCTCAAGTTAACATAAAACTCTTCCCCCTATTTCAGGCGTACAGGAGCAGCTCATACAGCCCCGTTTTCACTACATGACTCACACCTTGAGAAGTTCCCATTGGCAGAGTTCGGCCTAATTGTTCCGCTATAATGAAGTTTCTGCTTAGGAAGGAATATGGGGTAATGTGAAGAGGAAGGCCAGATCTTAATGAGGGCCCGCTCGCCGATCTGCCGACGTCCGCTTAATGTTAAGCCAATTAGCGGCTGCTCAAAGCAGGACTGCAGCCGGACGTCGGGGCTCGCTTACTCACGCAGCCCCTTGTGGAATATCCATGGATTTATATGCAAAGCAGAGGCAGTAGGAAGGGGGAGGGAACCTGAGGAAAAACCTGGGACCTCTGGTTTGAAGCCACCCCACATCTGTTGCTTCGGACACTGCGGCTTGGTTAGCACTAGGCTAACATACCAGAGTACAGCTTGGCTAAAACGCATTGACTCCCAGCTGTCATGATCCGCCTCCATCTTGTCCCCGTTTGGCCAGAAGATGTCGCCGGTCAACCCTCAGTCCCAGCTCTCATGTCTCAACCATCCACACCTGTCTCTAGTCTGTTAATCACGTTCAGTGTGGAGTGTCATGGATATGTAGTGTGTTATTAAATAAACCCCGTTTCTCTTCAGTTAAAAGCTGCATCTGAGTCATGTGTCTTTCCCTTGATACGCAACACAAGTCACATTATCGCTCAGCTATTGTTGCACACTGTTATCTGGCTAACTGACTAAATACGCTGCACTAAACTGACTTGGTGTGAATTGATTGCTGGGCAGTGCTGCCATTTGAAGACATCTACACAATGGAAAGAGAACAACCTAGAACGATACAACATCTTTCAAACCTTATACAACGTATGACATTTGCTTCAGGTTCCAAAGCTGTGCTTTGAGTGTTTACAGAATATTGTGCAAGAATAAGAATGAAGATAGGCAAGTTCAACAAGATGAATAACGTTACACAAACTATATGTTTCAATAAGCATTTTGGAAGCTTGATGATTGATTTTCTTAAATAACATTAAGAGCCACAGGAAAATTTGGCGGCGTGTAGCATTTCTGAACTGTTACGCTAATCGTATATAGGTACATAATTCCCTCAAACAGCACTGACATTGTTCATGTTTACTCCATAAGTTTTCAATGCATGATGGAAAATGCCATTGAGAAAACGGCTGTCTGAGTAGCTTATGCGCGGCTATCCGATGTGACCGATCAGCATTCTACCTATGTGCAGGGAACCTTTAACAAGTTCAAGTTCAGTCATTTTCAATAACTTGCAACACAACAGGGTTGGGGCCGTTCCGGAATGCATTGATCAATTCCAGTCCAAATCAGGAAATGGAACTGGAGCTGGGATTGGAAAAAAACTACGGGGAACAGAATTGGAGTTGAATTTGAATTTCAGGGAGATTTAAGTTCCAACTCCAGTTCCATTTCCTGATTTGGACTGGAATTGATCAATGCATTCCGGAACGGCCCCAACCCTGCAACACAATGTTTCATGGATACTGTTATGAAAACCAGCACAATTATATATAGGTGCAATATTTAAAAGAATTTACTGACATTGCATTGATCCATCCATCTACCTCCCAACCATTAATTCTCTTTATTCTCTTATAATGTATTATTTCTGCATGTTATTTAAGGGTTTAGGTTATTTTGACTAGGAATACATCCAGGGATAAAAAGCAGATGAGTGCAAAATTAAAAATAATCCATGCATCCATTTCGCATAAGTGCCAATCCCTTGTTTAGGGTTGTGGTCAGTGGGGAGATGTGTCTTCAGAAATGACTCAGAGTTCCAAGAACTCATGACCCTGTATCTCGTAAGCATTCGGTGGCTGGATGGGTGAATGGTTCTAGTTTTTAATGGTTAAAAACAGCCTGAGCCAATCAAAATACAGAGGTGAAATGGCTTTTTTTTATTATGTCCATAACAGTCTTTACTGCCTAAACTAAAGTCTAAATTAATTACAAAATTTTCAGTGAAAACACTGTCTTCCCTCCAAAGCAGGAATTGTGTCGAAATTGGTTCACTTCTTGATACAGTTGTTTCTGCAAAACAAAACATCGTAAACGTATTTCCAGTTGAACACAAACAAAGGGGGGCATGTTTTATTTGTTCAAAAAAAAAAGAAATATATTTATCTTCCCCTCTTCTCTCACTGGTTCAAACAAAATGGATGATTATGTTTATCTGATACAAACATTTATATTGATATGAAACACAAAGACAAGCATGTTATAAACATGCGATAAATAATGTGTCGACCAAACATGCTGGGATGGTGAGCTGAGGATTGCCTCAAGGGTGGCCAACTCGACTTTAACAAACAGTGGGTTCCATTACTGAAAACTCCCTTAGAAATGGGACGTGGGTCTTTGTGATTCCAAACAAACCCACATGACATCTACACTACAGTAAGAAACAGGGTGATTTATTGATTATATGGCAGCTTCAACAAGCCAAGCCCCCGCACGACGGGGTCCCTAAAAAATTTGGAACATCGTATGATTGGTCTGAGTTGGGGGCCCAATATCATGCTTTCATAGGGCCCAAAGTGTCTAATGACCCCCCCCTCAGATCTATAACAATGAATGTAAGTAAATATCATTACGAAATTCACAGGGAGCCTGAAGTCTATACCGGAATGAACAGGACATGGGGGGCTTTTCTGCTAAGATTAAGGTGAGAAAGACAAACTTATTTTGTTGGTCATCCTCTGTTTGGCCCTTGGTGCACTCTGGGATTTCACTAATCAAACCACAGCTCTAAGAAAGGTTTTATTGTGAGGCAGTACTTCAAGGACCTCCTGAATCCCACTGACAAGTCTTCCTTGGAAGAAGTAGAGCTGGAAAACTCGGAAGTGGGCCTATCCATCACTACACTCTTTGGTGGTAAGGTTCTGGAGCTGGATGAGATTTGCCCTGAGTTCCTGAAAGCTCTTGATATTGTTAGGCTTCCTCGGTTGACATGCCTCTTCAACATTGTATGGAGGTTGGGGACAGTGGCTTTGGATTGACAGATTGGGTCCCAATCTTTAAAAAAGGGGACCGGAGGATATGTTCCAATTTCAGGGGGATCACACTCCTCAGCTTCCCTGGGAAGATCTATGTCAAGGTCCTGAAGAGGAAGGTCTGTTGGTTGAACCTCAGATCCAGGAGGAACAACATGGATTCCGTCCTGGCAGAGGAACGGTGTATGTAGTGTTTTCAGTTCTCCCAGGTAGTTAGTTTAATAATTACTGATTCTGATTGGTCAGAGGCTTCACACCTGACTGACAGGTAAAGGCAGGCTGGAAAACCAGCAGTGCTCGGACCTCAAGGACCGTGATTTGAATAACCCTGGTGTATGGGATATGGGGTCTGTTGTTATGGTCATTAGGTCCCTGTATAACTGGAGCGAGATTTTGGTTTTCATTGCCCGCAGAAAGTCAGACTCGTTCCCAGTGGGTAATGGACTCTGCCAGAGCTGCTCTTTTTCACTGATTCTGTTCTGTATTTATGGACAGAATTTCTAGGTGTAACCAAGGGGCAGAAGGGGTTCAAGATTCAAGATTCAAGATTCTTTATTCGTCACATACATAGTTATAACAAGTACAACATGTAGTGTAGATGTAGTGTAGTGGGTGCAGTTTGGTGCCCTCAGGATTATGTCTTTGCTTTTGTAGATGAAGTGGTCCTGTTGGCTCCATCGGGGTGTGACCTGCCTTATGCACTGGGGCAGCTTGCAGCTGAGTGTGAGGCGGCTGTGATAAGGATCAGCACCTCCAAGTCTGAGGCCATGATTCTCTACTGGAAAAGCATGAATTGCCCTCTCATGGTTGGGGATGAGTTACTGCCTTAAGTGGGGGAGTTAAAGAAGTCCTGAGGGAATAGGAGAGCGATACGGGAGTGAGAGATCGACAGGCAGCGTCAGTAGTAATGAGAACACTGTACATTTCTGTTTGGGTAAAGCGAGAGCTGATGGGGGCGGGGGGGGATAGGCTGAATAAGCAAACAAACAAACAAACAAATAAATACCGTAAGTCAGTACATACATAACCATATCTCTATCTAAAGCCTGAATTATTATTCTGCATCAAGCCTACGCCATGACCTGCACAAGTGGTGTATTATGTCATGAGCATTTTTACTTCTGAGTTGGTGTGTTTGTGTCGCTCAGCAATTACACCGTTAAAATGCTAGATGATACATAGTTCTGGATATTGCATGTTTGTCTTCTCACCCTGCAATATATTGGACTGTTGAATCACGCAATTCAAGCAGAAAAAAAACAAACATTTAACAACGGATCCATTTATCGAGTCCTGGTTACATTTGTGCTGCTCCAAACTTCCCATAGATGAATTTGGAACAATGTCACGCCACTACAAAGTCACTTTTTATGCATAGATGAACTGCAGGAGATGAACAGCTATAGATGACTTGCAGAAGATGAACAGCTATAGATGACTTGCAGAAGATGAACAGCTATAGATGACCTGCAGGAGATGAACAGCTATAGATGATCTGCAGAAGATGAACAGCTATAGATGACCTGCAGAAGATGAACAGCTATAGATGACCAGCAGGAGGTGAACAGCTATAGATGACCAGCAGGAGGTGAACAGCTATAGATGACCTGCAGAAGATGAACAGCCATAGATGACCTGCAGAAGATGAACAGCTATAGATGACCCGGCCAACTTCCCATGCAGGACAGCATGCATGCTGTTGCTTGACAAGTGTCTTGCCTGTTCATCCAGTTCAGACAGTGCTGCCAACTGCTTCCAATGGAAAGTAGCTAAAGACTGCTCGAAAAGTCTCTAGATGACGCATGCGTATTTGTGACGTCATCTCATCGTATTTGCATTCTGCCTAGTGTCAGATGGTGTCTGTTTGTTTCTTTCCTACTCCGTGTGCTCACGTACACTGTTTTATAATACAGTATAGTACGGAATTATCAATAAAGCTGTTCTCATTTACATGTATTTCTGTTTCTATTGTCAGCTAAGAATTATCCAAAAAGCCGCAAAATTTGTGTTTATTATTAGCTTTTTTGACGCAGCACTGGCAGTGACCTACAGTGACATGTACAGGAGCAGCTCCAGAAACTCGTTTTCCCACAATCCCCCGCAGCGGTTTCAGTCATAAGCAAAGGGCGATTTGCAATGGCAGGACGCGATCGTGTGGTCAATTTGCTTAGGCAACTCGAGAGAGCTGCGTAAGTTGAATTGCAATAAATCGTTCATTTTTTTTTTTTACAAGTTCCCTGCTCTACTGTAAGATGTAAACTGGAATGGAAAACTTGGCAGTGAAAGGACGGTTACTGGGCAGCGTAGTTACTGCGAGCTGTAAATTTCGATTTGTAGCCTGTTTGTTTTTCTTGCTTTTCCCCCCAGGTGTAGATGTCCTGCTCATTCACAGACATACCATCAAGGTAGGAGTCCTGCACATCATGTCTCTATATACCTTTTCCCAAAACATTTTTTTTTGTTATAATAGTTTTGTTATAATAGTTGAGCTGCATTCGCGCATTTAAGTATTCCTGCAGTTATTGTTACCTGGCTAGACGCTGATTTTAAGTTGTTTTATAGTTTCAGCTCATGGGTCGGGAAGCCGAACCACCGATTATGCTTTTGAGGTACCGCTCCGAAGTGCGCACCGCCTGCTCAGCCCCTATGGAAAAGTACAGGATCCACAACTTTGCTCCGTGTCTTGCAGATGGCGAGCTCAAACATTAGATATGGAGAAGGCGTTACTACAGAAATTGGCATGGTAATGGTTGTCTGTTATATCTGTTTTTAATGCAGTAATTTGAAATAAAGAGCATAATATATTCATGGTTGCCAACTGCCTAGCATCTGACGTGACACTCTTGCTTTCAGGCTCTGAAGCTCATGCAAGAAATCTTACGGCAAATTTATATTATTCCATTATAAAATTTAAAATAGCCGCATCAAGTGAGCTGGGGTAGTTTGCAAAACCTACAGACTATTTACAAGTTAATAAAACTGTCACGTGCATGTAAATGTGTTTGCAGACTGTGACACTGTATATCTTGTTTTGTGCACTAAAATGTCCTTGAAAGAATAATTGTAACAGAAGTTACCCATTTCATAAGAAAGGTTATTTATTTCACTGTTTTATTTACTGTAACTGGGGTGCAGGACTTACGGAATCTGGGAGCGCGGAATGTGTGTCTGATGACGGACAGGACAGTGTCCCGCCTCCCGCCTCTCACAGCGGTGCTGGACTCACTGGCCAAACATGACGTCACTTTCAGGTGCTATGACCGAGTGCGGGTGGAGCCCACGAATTCCAGGTCAGCGCCGCCGCCTCCATCTCTCTCTCACACCCCCGTGTCTGTCAGGCCAAAGCTCTGCGGTCACCCTCCACTCCTGCATGCAGCTTCAGGGACGCCATCGACTTCGCAAAGCGTGGAGACTTCGATGCGTATGTGGCGGTGGGCGGAGGCTCTGTGATTGACACCTGCAAGGCAGCCAATCTGTATGCCTGTCACCCAGAGGCAGACTTCCTGGACTTTGTGAATGCTCCAATCGGCAAGGGGCAGCCGGTAACACAGACCCTTAAGCCCCTAATAGCAGGTAAATCGAGGAAGATGGCTGTCCAGGCAGGGATGGTCATCCAACTGTGTCGGTTGAACTGTTGATGGGGATTTTGGGGACAGCAGGTAGCAATAAATGTTAAGGTCAACAAGTTCTTAGTATCTCTTTAAAGAAGGGACCAAATACAATTTATCACCGTTTTGCTTTTGAAAACATACTTGTTTCTGTGTGTTGCTGTTATAATTTACCATATTGTGAATGATGTCTTATTTGCATAACCTTCTTGTTTTTTTGCCTTTGTGTTTATAGTACCTACGACTGCCGGAACAGGAAGTGAGACCACCGGTGTGGCTATTTTTGACTATGAGCCTTTAAAAGCTAAAACAGGTAAACAGAAAATCCTGAATTTTTTTGGTCGCACATATTAGGGGTTATACGGTTTATATAAGGTACACTTTCAGCTGGCCTGAAAAGCTGCTTTTGAGTTTCAGTCTGATATCAGAGTCAGGCCTTATTTGGCGCTTTACCATTTCATTTTAACCTGGCTGCCTTTCACTCTCTACCAATATGCCACTATAAGCAAAATGAATATTAATTTTGTTAATATAGGATATATACTGTATCTGTGTATTTGTATTGTGTGTATGTTCAGGCATAGCTAGCCGAGCCCTGAGGCCAACGTTAGGGATGGTAGATCCCCTCCACACGCTGCACATGCCTGAGCGAGTGGCCGCCAACAGTGGGTTTGACGTGCTGTGGTACGTGTTGCCTTAGCCTCCCTGTAGCTAACTTGTGGTAGCTTCCCACATCAGTATTGACGTGCTGTGGTACGTGTTACCTTAGCCTCCCTGTAGCTAACTTGTGGTAGCTTCCCACATCAGTATTGACGTGCTGTGGTACGTGTTGCCTTAGCCTCCCT